CCTTGTAAAAACCTCACCGTCCATTTACATTAGTGGTTATTAATTTTTTGCACAAGAGCTTTGAGCTGCATGGGCAGGCATTGTTGGGACATGAATCAAAGTGTTCATGTTTTGCTCCTGGTTATTTTATTCTTACATATTTTCAGATGCCTCCACAGTAGCTGGCACAAAACCTAAGACCCCACTGCAGTCCTAGCATCAGCACAGAACATACAGTAGTAAACATATGCTCAAAGAACTCTCTTCATCTATTTAAGTTTCAGTGCTAAATGTTACTATGCCTATAAAATGCATAGTTTGTAACAACAGCTAAGGTTGTTCTCAAATCTACAATGGAGACAGATTTCCCAGCCTATACATAAATACATGCTTTTTAGCATTTGATTCCTAACTAGTATTACACAGCCCTCTTTCGTGTCAGACACTGCCAAGACTACCGAAAGCTCGGTTGTGTAAACTGTGTAATAATAAGGATTTCTGCATCAATACCTTTAACTCACATGAATGTAGGCAGATAAAGCAAAGCCTTCTCGATGCATAAAAACGCCCCAAAGTGAATTCAGGTTTGAATAAAGTTTGGCTTTTTCATTGTTTGAAAACGTTTTTATTTGTCTTTGAAATTTGCTGGCATTAATGTAAGAGAAGAACAAAAAGCCAAACAGGAGGACAGTAGGGCCTAAAGTTTTCCCTAAGCCATTGTTAGCAACAGTTTTTTTAAATCCCCATTCACAGTTGTCTGATCTACAAGTATGCCACCTTCAAATTACACTGTGATATGAAATCCAGCATGCATTTGAACAGTACCTTCGAGGTTTATTCATCACTGCTTTTGTAAAGAACAAAAGTCAGATGATCTTCTATTCCCAATTATCTCTTAAAAATAACCAAAAAAGAAATACTCCTTTCTAATGAAAAGCTCTGAATGCTTTTTGAAAAGTTTCTTTTCATTCAGTGTTTTGAGGACAACACTGCAAATCTCTCAAAGGTGACATAGTTGCACCTGACCCACTTTCTTCCACTCTGTGCTAGTTCTCCTCAACAGTGCAAGTCACAAAATTAGCATCCTGTGATACCCAGCACTATCACTGCAATTCAATAGCTGTATTGGAAATTTCAGGACAAAACAAGAATCATTAAACTGAACATGTTAGAATATTTCATCCTTAAGTAATGACTCAAAGAAAAAGGAAGTAACCTTATGAAATCTGAGCCTCCACTGCAACATCTATTATTAACTTCAATATCAAAAAATGTCATAGAGGATTATAATTACTGCTATAATATAACAGTTCATAAGGCATACTCTGGACACATTAATGCACACTGCCTCCCCATGAAGCTGAACACATTATGGCTCACAAGGAGCTTTTTTAGAGAGATTTCAAATCATCTTAAAATATCTTCAAGAGGGTCTCAATAAGTCAGCGGGGCTCAACGACAGCAAAAAGAGTGAAAAGCCAGGATGTGACTCCAGTGGCACCACAGATGACAGGATGCAACAAGCCAGAGAATGAATAAAATATTATTCCAGTACTATCCAGCTCAGACCATGTTTTTTCTAAATAACTTTCTGAGGTCTAATTAAGTACCAGCAGCCATGGGCATGGTCACTTATAGTTTTTTTTAAAGCCTCTTCTCTGCAGATCCCTCCCCTCAAATGCATTGACTAATAAATTATTTTACTGCCATGTTATAAACTAATATTTTCTCTGAAAAGCAAACAGCACTCCTGAGGAGAATGGTAAAGATCCTCATCTGAGAGACAGCACTTAAAACCACAGTAAAACAGCTGAAGTCTGTGCAATTGCTCTATTTCACACCAATGTGACTGGGACCTGACTGAGACCCAATCGAACGGCACTGATATTCGGGTTATTTAGTAAATTTTCTGCCCTCGCTATACTGTACACAGTCAGTCAATGAAATGCATTTTTTAACCTTCAATTATATTAAATTTTAATACTAGTGTACCTAACAGCATATATGAAACATTTAAGTGTTATGCTTATCAGAATTCCACCAGAAAAGATGAAGCCGTGCAAACGGTTTTATTAAAATAATGGATCCAAATTCTGGGACCTGTTAAATCTACTTTCTGCTTTTAAATGGCACACATTGGCATTTGCACAGTTTCCTAACTTGAAACATTTATTTTAAAAAAGGGGAACTTCACAAAGAGATTAATTGAGGTCTCCTGAAACATGATTTGGAACTTGAAAAACTGCACTGAGGTTTAGGGAGAGTCATAGATAATTTGCTTGACATACCCTGAAGTGCATGAAATAAAACGCTATAGCTAATATTGCTCCAGACAAATGTACAGACTTTGGCTATACACTTGAATGTATGGTTACAGAAATTAGCCTTCTGGAATTTTAAAAAGCAACTAGTTCTTCCACTGCTCTTTTCTGACACACATCTACTGAAATTAGACATGAATCCAGGTGTTAATTACTAGATTCCGAATTTGGCCCATAGCAAGTATTTCTACCAGTTTACCAGTATACTGCCTCCCCTCAGAAGCAGGAAATTCTGGTGCCCTCCTCTAGTGCCAATCATTGTATCTGCTTTTTTAATTGTAAACCACTGTGCTATGGGAATCCACCCAAACAGCACAAGAGACTCTCAATAAAAAATGTGTTTATTTGCACTCTGCCTGATCTCTGTTCTCACTTTCTCTTTCTAGTCACTTCCCATAGCACGATGTTTCTTGCCTGTTGCATCACAGAAAAAAATCCTACTTTGAGTTGCCATCCCTGGTGAAAGCCTGAGAGTGAACATACCTCTTGTAATTAGGATTCTGACAGGGCCCTGCAAGAAGCAGTCTGGAGCCAGACTCCAGACAAAGCAAGCTTTTGCCCCCTCAGGTAACATTACAGAGAAACCCAGAGTAACCCACTTATCTTACAAGCAGCAACACTTGCAAGCTAAAGAGATACTAACAAAAACATAGAAAGACACTAAATACATACAAATAGTTTCAATCATGTTAGAAAGAAAACAAAAATTGAAAATAGAATACTGTAAAAGCTAAAGTAAATTGTAAAATAAATATTTCAGGATTTAAACTAATACTAGAAAAGCCCATAAATCATCTTTACAATCACTCCCTTTCCTACCAAACATCCACCCTCTCCAAATAGAGGCCTATTACCAGGTCTTCAGCATACATTACAGGATAAAGAGGGCTGCAGGAATCTAATTTACTGCTGCAGCGAAGAGATGCCAGAGAAAGGGTTAGAGTAGCAAAAAATCCTGGAGACAGATGATTTTTTCTAGGAGACTAAGTATCACTCTGCACAGAGTGATTTCATATAGAATGACATGTAACACCAAGCCAAGCAGCCAAACCAAAGGTTATGCTCCTCTCAATTTCTATTCTCCTGTCTGGGGCCAGAAACCTACAGATTTAAAGCACTGGAGGGTAAGAAAGGCAAGCCTGAATAAAAGGCACAGCCAAGCATAAAAATATGACACTATACAGTACCAATACTGGTACTAACAAAAAATGTGGCTGAATAGGTCTTCCTGAAAGATTGAGTGGTTCCTGTGATTTCTTATCTATTTCAGGTAAGTAATAATGAGAAGGAATACTTTTGACAAGCCCACAGAGCACAGTGCAAAGCGTATTCATTAGTGAGCTCATCACAGTGATGACAGGCTCTCAGAAACACTGATGTTTCTGACACGGCTCTGCAATGTGCCCACTGATACAGTAAATCAGACTCAACCTCTAGAAACCACTTTTTCCAGCCAGGCTATTTTTCTTCTATGTCTGCCTTGTGGTCAATTCCTGTGGGTGCAGAGGCCTTAAGCCCTGCACCACCAATAGCCATTCAGATTCACTGAGCTCCTGTTTGAAAGATGCAGGAATTAAATTTCTACAAACGCATTCCTAGACTCCAATTCACCCACACTGTTCCATGAGTAGGTGTTTCAAGAAAACTTGGTCAGCCTTAAGTAATTCTAACCCTAGTATAATTCACTGGAATTAGATTTAACATAAGCCTACATCAAGTTGTTGGGCTTTGTGTATTCTTTCAAGAGTCAGGATTTTGCTTCTCCCTTCATCGACAGTCAGCAGAGAGGAGATGATGAAGTGCAAAGCCTGGGGTGGGGAGCTTACTTACTTTTTTCCCCAAAAGTTTATGTTCTGTACAAATCTGAGACACATTTATGGTCAGCAGCAAATCACAGAATCTAGCTACAGTGATCATACAACAGTTGTAATGATGGCAAGCATATGAGAAGCCCTCTCTTCAGCATTTTCCTTCAACAGGATAAATTCAGATTCTCCTTGTATTTTAGGAGTTCAGAATTAACTCACCAGCAGAGCAAAAGTTTACTCTAATTTCAGCATCCTGTGCTTATTAAAATTTCATTGTTAATATTGCCAGAAAATAAGACATGCCCAGCATGGCCTCACTGACAAACACCTAAGCAAGTACTGAACAGTCAGATATGGGCAGTCCAGTCCTTCAGATCATGGAAAGCAAAACCTGAACACATACAAGGTTCAGGTAAATGAACACACACAAGCAAGGTAAATGCTGCTAATGAGGAGAACTGGAAATATAAAGGAGATGTCTAAGAAACAAAGAAAGATGTTTTGTACAAAGAGAAAGTGAGCACGCACATGCAAGCATACAACTGAAACAGGAAAAGCAAAGAAATCATATAACCCTGAAAGTACTCTTACCTGCTAAGAGTAAAACACCTGTAGTCTCTATTCTTAAACTTAAAAATCTGCTTACCAGACACCTTAAACATATAGAAACAGCATCATTATCTTTGTACATACTCTCTTTAACATGCCCTACTCATGCATATTTGAAGACAGCCCAGCAAAACTGTGGGATGAAGAAGGGAGAAAATACACCGAGAGCATTTGCAATGCCTGTGGGATGTGCAAGAGCCAGAATTCAAGGATTGTCATGCATGATCCAACCTCTTGGTAGGAAAAAACAAACAAACAAAACCAACCAAACCAAATGTCTTACCGTTATTACTGTTATCATCAACTAAAATGATTTCTTTGAGCAGGTGAGCAGGAGTCCGGTCAATGGCTGAATGGATGGAGCGCAGAATCACGGAGAGCGCTTCATTAACAAAGATGAATACAATGCTGACCTCAGGAAGCCTCTCAGGAAATGTAAGGTTTCTGCACCTGAACGTTGAAGAAAAAAAAAGTTAATCGTTGGAAGTCACAACGTTAACACAAACTGTTTCAGAGAAATCTACCCCTGGTCTTAAGAATGATAAAAGAGCTTTTGTAGGCATCCATCAGAGGGCCCCCGTACTTGCTCAGAGCATATATAGGCAAGACCCAGATGACTTAGTATGTAAAAAAAGGCATCTCCTGTATCTGCCTGTGCAGCTAAGGCCTAGAGTGAGCTCACGTTTCCACCAGAGACCCAAAACACTGCAAAGCAGATGCAAACTCTTGTTTAAATGCAGCTTCCAATAGCAGTTATTCATAGTGTCTTTCTGGACAGTGCAGACAGGAATAAACAGAATTAGCCCTTTACTTTATAAAGCATCTTTTTAATAGGCATATAGATCCACAGCATCAATACAAGAGAGAAACAGTTAAAATGATGTTTGGATTTACTAATTCCCACTTGTAGTTTGATCTTTTGACAGTATAACAAATTAAAATTTACTTTCCAAAACCAGTTTCTATTTCTACTGGTATGTTACTCTCCTATTTTCACTGGTAAGAGAGTTTTCAGCTCTAAGCATCAGACTGAAAAGTTTTCTTTGAAGCTTTCAGAAGAGTTGAAAGCATGACACCTTTTATATTTTTTTGGAGTACCACCGGACAGCAGATCAAATGTGACAGCTGGTGGAACTATCACTGTGGTGTTTATAATCAACTGCCCCCCCTTCTCCTCCTCCTTTTGCTTTCTTTCAAGTGAATGCTAATACATTCAAAGCATGACTTGCAATAAAACTTTATTATTCTTTGAAAAATCAGATTCTCCTAAAGTCTTATATTTGGACATCTTTTATGCCTGGCCTTTAAAAGCAGTTGCAGTCATAATTCTTACTGATTTCAGGGAGTTTTGCTGGCAGTTGGGATTTTCTAAGAAGGACTTTTTAATTGATTCACAAAGGAAATCTAAATAAAAATCAAAATACTGCATCTTTCAGCAGAGTGAAATGTAACCTGTAAACTACATAGCTGCTTAGAAACACACATACAACACAGGAAAGAAGCTTTCTCCATGAAGCACTGTGGGCCCTCTGAATGCACCAGAGCCACAGGTACTTTCCTAGAGGTAAGAACCTGAGTCGGTTTTGTGCAAAGTAAAACACTACAATAAGAGGCAGAGGGAGCTGACTTTTCTTCCAGAAGACAACTAGTGAAAGGCAGCACTGCTTTTCTCTTTTAACCAGTAGTTCAGGAGTTAAAACCTTCAACCAGGGCAGGAGGAGCATGAGTTCAATCTTCTCTAAACACTCCAGAGAGCTCCCTAACTACTTGCCAGCTCAGTGTGATAATTTTCAATCCAGTTTTTGAGAGTCATTCTACTTCCTGTGGAGCAATTAAATGTATGCTCAGTTGGAGTGATCCCAGGGAAGTTACTCTAGACTCATGTTTGGGGCAAATTTCTTAGAGGAACAACCTGTATCGCAGTACGCATTCCAATGGATGTTCGTGCATTTTAAACTCTGGATTCACTCTCTATGGCTATGCCATATCTTCTAGATAAAAATCTCTTGTGGTAATTTTTTCTTTCTTTTTGCAAGCTTATTGTTTTCATTTAAGAAGTGCTACTTAAGGCTGAAGGAATAAAGGCACCTTCACAGAGCCTGCAAATCAGGTGTCAGAGCACTTTATTGGGAAGCAGCCCAGAATCAAGGAATAACTGAGGTTGGAATGGACCTCTGAAGGTCAACCTGTCCAGCCCCCAGCTCAAGCAGAGTCACGTAGAGCCAGTTGCCTGGCACTCTATCCAGACAGCTTCTAGGTATCTTCAGCAATGGAGACTCCATATCCTCCCTGGGCAACCTGTGTCAGTGCTCCATCACCCTCACAGTAAAAAAAAAGTTTCCTGATATTCTGACAGAGTCTCCTGTGTTTCAGTTCGTGCCTGTTGCCTCTGGTCCTGTCACTGGGCACCACTGAAAAGAGCCTGGCTCCATCCTCTTTGCGGCCTCTCTTCAGGTATTTATAAACATTGATGACATCCCCATGAACTTCCTCTTCTCTAGGCTCAACAGTCCCAATCCTATATACATAAACAAGGTTTCAAACCTTCTTAAAAGAAAAGATAGTTCTTCACACCTGCCTCCTGTACCCTAGAGTATTTTAACCTCTGAAATTTAACCTCTGAAAATTCTTTAAGGAAAGGTCATCTTCTGTGGTGAACAATCTCTAAAAGCACTGCTTAATAGCACTGCCTAGATAACTGAGTAACTGAAGCAGGCACGAACTGGCTTGGGCTCAGCGCTGTCAGATCTGTGGGGAATCTTTGGCAAATGTGAATTGAATTGCCACCAGGGTTAAGTGGCATCTGAAAACAGGATTTTCAATGAATATATTTCAGGCTCAAACTGCCCGAGAGGACCCTGTACTCATGATCACACTACAGTTTTTAAATACCAACCCTCACACTGGACCAAAAGATGCTAAGACCATGACAGATCCAGCTCCTTAAAGAACAGACCCGTCCATAGCACATTGTGCATGTGCATGTACATGTCATTCTGCACCGACAAAAAAATTCTATATGCAGTCTGGATACTATTACTATGTAGATGTCAACTCTTACATGCAAGTTAGATGTACAAATTTACACGGGCATAATGAGCAATTACTAACAAAATTCTTATCTCCTGTACACCTCTATGTAGATAACACATTTCTGTTTGATGTAATAATTGAAATTTCATCCACGTTTTGAAAACTTGGCTTCAAACAGTCTATGAACTAGTTAACAGCCTTAAACACACTGAAATAATTTTCAGTATTACCCTGTAAAGAGCCTACAAAGCGTGTTATTTTAGTGATTCACTCACAGCCAAAATGCATAGATAAAATGGCCCAGCAAACAAAGCTACAACCAATTTGTCTTTTAACTGTCTAGCTTAGGCATAGTAATATTTCTAATCCTCAGCCTTACCAATGGACAAAGAAGATAAAAACGAAACTATAGCAAAAATGGTAAGATATGTCACCTATCAGATAAAAAGCAACACAATTATTTTGGAAAATATTTTAAATTACAATGAAAACACACAGAAAATAGTTCAAAGAAATTACTTCTGTAAAAACTGGTGGGTTTTTCCTCCTCTGACATTTAAGCTAATGTTGAGATACACATAAAAGATACTTTTGTAAGAAATTAGTGACAAACTATATTCCAAAAATGTTCCAGATGACAAAATCAGACTCAAAACACTACTACCATACCACAGAACCATGAGTAAACTGAAACATTCAAACAAAATTCCTGCTTTTGACATGTCTTCCATCCATTTAAGGGAAATTTTTTGTATTGTTTTTCCTACCCGCATTCATTTACACCTTTTCAAATGAGATCACACTGCACAGGATTTTCCATTGTCTGGCTCACTCTGCAGACATAAGCAAAGCATTTAATGCTGTGAATGTCTTTTGACTCCCTTTTTGCTCCACCATACATTAAAAGATAACTAAACACAAGAGAACAGAATTAGGCTCTTGTTGTGCCTAATTTCTTTAGTCTTTACAAATGGATTCATTTTCAGTTAGGGTACATTCCTGAATAGAGTTCATGTTTTCTTTTTTCCCCATTCAGAGTCATTTATCATCTTCACTTCAGCTTGGGTTCATTTTTTTTTTTAATGTGTGTAGAGTTCTTAAAAGATACATTTTCCTGTCTACATTATTTTTCATATCAGATCATGACAATAAAAATTAACAATTTTTCTTTATTTAAACAAATCAGAATTGAACTCACACACCTCAGATCACACACAGAATGCAAAGCACTTGCACAGTTCCACAAGTATGTCTGTCTTCTTTATGCCAAGTCTCATAAGGAATAAAATTCCATAATTCTAGGAATGCACAAGAAATAGGTACAGAGAAAGGGCGCATGTATACGTGAACAGAACATGCTGAAGGGGGTCAAAGGGAGAAAACTGTATGGACCAAAATCTTAATATCCATTAAGCCCTAAGAACTGAACAGTTGTGTGGCAACCAGCAACATACACATTTCAAGGACAGCTCTGCCTTGGACTCCTCCAGGCAGAGGAGTCCAAGGCTAACCTGCTCCTCTGCAAAGTGAGGATCTCACTAAAAACACACAAACCCACAAAGCACAGAGCATATTTCAGTATTATGACTAAGTGATTCTTAAATATAAATTCTAAATATTACTTAGAATTACATTAATGAGTATAAGCCCAACGCAGCTAAAAAATTACCTCTAGCAACCTACTCCGATGAATTACATCGGGCTAATAACACTAAAGTAACAGTTGTCATGGTTACCAGAAATTTAGAGAAACTCCTGGTGTTCTATTTCAAGCACAACTCTGGTAAATGGAGGACAGCATACATTATGAATCTTCCTTCAAATACTTGTCCACAAGAAAATTATATTCCTCTAGACTACATGCATTGTGATAAGACAATTTAGCCAGTCACATTAAAATTAGTTTAGCGTAACTATGCAGGAAGAACAACAGAGCAAGAATGATTCCCTGTGTTAATAACTTACCTCTGAGACCTTCTACAAATACGAACTAAATTACAAAAAACAATTATTTTCTGCAATTGTTGAGAATCTTTCACCAAGAGTTCCATGGGTATGACAGCCAACAGTGGCAACAGAACATGGTTTTTGTATTACTCACTACATTTTGTCACCTAATCCATGGGTTTCTTTAAAAAAACACATGATGCAATAAAGCATATTACTAAAATATTTGCAGTTAAAGGATTGCTTTAAGAACATATGTGGAAGGGAGCTTTAGTTCCAGCAGAATAAGAATTTCTCAGAAGCACAAACAGAAACAGAATTGTACCTTTTTCAAGATTTTTTTTCATCAGCAAAAATGGCAAATGCAAGTTCAAAACATGGGAGGAAAAAACAGTCACATTCTGGCATGTTTATGATTTCATTTGGTGATCATTCTTCATTTTTTCTTTCATTATTATCAATATTTTAAGTGTAACTGAAACACGCTAAAAAGGCTGGCATTGAACAACATATAAAACGGGCTTTTTTCCTCATCTCTGAAGATCACTATCTATTAAAGCCAGTAAAGTACTTCTGAGGCAAATCTAGAAATCTTTCTTTGGGGGTCATCATATTCTATTACAAGAGAGCAAAAGCAATCATATGAGGAATTTGAATATAGAGTTACCATATAGCTATAGCAAACATTCATAACTTTTTTTATCTCTTGGCACCAATTCCTAGAAACAAATAAAAAATTGCAATAAGGAAAGATCAGATAACAGGAAGGGAACTTGATAAGTATACAGATAAGTTCCAAGATTGTAACACAAGATTGATTAGTTCTTGGTCTCCTAAGCATCTTACAGAACAGATTTAATTGTAAGAGACTGATTCCCCACTCCTTTTAATAAAAGGTACTGATATTGATAAAATCATACAATAAAGGTCCATCTTTTTCTTGGTACTTAAACCCAAGATCTTTCTCTGAATAAAGCAACAAGAACAGTAAGCTAGGAGTTGATGACCTCAACAAAACTAATTTTTGGATGAACATGAGAAAAATTACGCATAGGTATTTGGCAAAAAATTGTTAGCTTCTCTCCGTATTATGCCAAGGATTATTCTGAGTATGCTTTAGTATAAGTGTATGTCAAGTGAAATAATATTAACATGTTACTTTAAAAAGGGACTGGGAGAACGTGTGCAGATTAGTGTCTCGTGTCTCACATCTTCTTTCAGTTATAGGAGACAATGAGGAAGATCAAAACCAAGAAGTGTACATCATTATTAAAACAGCTTGAAGACTGCAGCTGATTTGATACTAAATACTTCTAGAGCAGCTATTTGAGGAGATACATCCATGCAGGACAAACTGAAGCACACATAAGAATCACAGAGTGTGGCTACTCGGGCAGTACACACCACTGCTATGAGTCAGTTTGAAGGCAAACAAAAGAGACACAATAAAAAAGGAACCTAAACTGTGATGAGTAAAAGAGAGAAGGAAATATGACAGAATTAAACATTAGGTATTTAACAAGAACACTGAATGATGTGGTAATTTTAGGACTTTTGTCCAAAACAATACAATAGGTAAAGTACCAGGGGATGTGCTCTTTCTCAAGGCCTTCTTTGGAACATCAAATACAATATGCTATATTCATGCTATCTTTCATGAATAGAAACAAAAGATCTTGGTCAGAAATGAACACAGAAACATATCAGTCACTAACATAACCTCAGCCAATCAGAAGTGTTTCACAGACACATGTGGAAGCAAACGTTTATTGAATGCAAGGCAGTAGGAGCTGGCTTTTGGGAAGAAGCAGAGCTAACATGCAAATGCCCAAGCCTGAACCTCACAATTTGAGATCATGTGTTTTTCTTACAACAGTCTGATGTCTTGAACACTGCATCCAGGACTGCATATACCACCAAAACACCAGCGGACATTTTGGACAGATACGCATACATAAACAGCTCTTGACCTAAACCACACCATTCTCCTCAATCAGCCAATGCTTAATTTTTCTCCCTTGTATTTGTATTTGCATTCAGTGGATTTCCTGCCTGCTGTTTGTGCTCACTTTATCACAAACCTAATTCTGCTGCTCTTCAAGGCTTCTACCATTGTCCCTTGCTGAATTGAGCATCAAAGTAATACAATTTGCAACTGGTGAACTGTTTGAAACCAGAAGTACTTAGAAAATGGCCAAAGCCTTTCTCTGCACAGGAAACAGGACATCTCCTCTGCACGTGTCTAGAGGCCAAACAGCACTGACTCAGCTATTTAGCCATCTCCAAAGAAAAAGCATCTCAGCTTTAAATGCTTCTTTTTTCTTACTGAAGAAACAGTACTTTGGGATGTGACAATTACTTCAAGAGGCTGAGATATCCAGGGGAATTATTTATATTTATTACAATCTGAATTATAACAGATTATTCTGGACTGTGCTGGGGATTCCACTGTGCTAGGGCAAATAGTCACAGTGAAAAGTAGTCAAATTCTGAACATTTTACCACAGGACATGATGCTCATGACTGTACAGAGGGTTAGAAACCACTCTGCAGCACCTAAAACACGCGAAGGTTCCACTGCAAGGCGTGACAATTACCACAGCTGGACCAAGCTGCAATCTGCTGGATGTTTCCATCTGACTGACGGTCATTTTTTTCTGGAGAAGACAGAGTTCAGGAGCTGGGCAGAGTGCACTGCCCTAATTACTACATGTGGTCTCCCACCTCTGCATGCCACCCACATCAGAGGACTGGGCAATGTTGAATATCTGCCCTCTCTACTACATGTGTTTGGATCAGCAATCTCCGATTTGTCCTCTTGTTTTCTCATGACAATAAATGTTGATCATACCAAGCCTAGAAAATCCATTATGCTGTAATACAGGGTCATTACATATGTGGATTGGCCTTCCTCACTGCAGCACCTTGCAAAGAAATGTGGAGCTCCTCTGTTATTTTGATGTGAATTCTCAGAGCACTGCAGGCAAGAAAGCAGCTCAAGACTGAGTCATCCCAGTATGATATAAAAGTGGCTACTAACACCACACACTCTTAGCAGATCACTTCATTCTCCCTGTTTCAACTGGGGCCAGCAGTCTATGAAATACTTTAGACTTCAGTTACGCATCTATTTCTGTTGTCTTTCCAACTTCCGGTTCTTCATAGGATAGGTTATGAACACAGATGATAGACTACAACCAAACCCAGAAGAACTCCCCTTTAGCTACCTGCCCACAAGCCTTTGGTGGGATTCCAGTGTCATGCTGACTCTTGCAGAACCACTGCCAAATCCAGGCTAATGAGCCTGGTTAGACCTAGGCTAACTGTCCAGAGCTATTGTGGTACCTCTATCCTATCTGTGCTTTCTGCGCTTCTAGTCAGAACAGGAATACCACAACCAGCTAAGGACCAGCAAAGCTGATCAATAAAGCCTTCATGTCACTTGCTGTGTGCTCTCTTCAGACCAAACTGTCCTTGGATTTCATGCTGTGCTGTCTGAGGCTGGGATCTGCCCATGGATAATCTACATATGTGTATATAGACTTTGGAATGGACTAATTCAATTTGCCTTAAAAAGAGGTGCCACATATCCTAAAATTTACTATTGCAGTGGTAAACACTCCAGCAGAGTAGGTTTTTTCCCAACAATAGCCATGAATGTGCTCTCACACAAATGAGAATTTGCGTATCAGGAGTGGGAATTCTTTTTTCAGCAACATGACTTTCAGAATACCCTGTAGCTCTGTACTCCACAGGGTGCTGTAGATACAGCAAACAGTTTGCATACTATCTGACAATACATTTCTTTTCCCCCGGTATCAGAATTTACTATATTTCGATGTCAGACTGCTTGCTCCTGAAAAACAGGAAAGGGTGTGGGTAAAAAAAAATCTTCCTGAGCTACCGTCACTACGCCACGGCTTTGAACACATGTGTCCGTAAACATGTTGTAATGTCTAGCATGTTTCTGGCAGATAGTTAACTGAGGATCAAAAATTCACTGAAATTAGGATCATGATCAATTTCTAACTGGAGTTTCTTTTAAAATCCCAACCTTAATTTATTTCTCTCGGTTACAGTATCATTCATTTTCTCTGTCTTTTTAATTTTTAAAACCTATAGTTATAAAAAATTTAGATTGAAATAGTTCAGGAGAGTCATTTCCAAAGAGAGATAAGAACAGAAACATTTCTGTCACTGATGTCTTATTAATGACAGAAGATTTATTTTTCCTCTAAATTATTTTAGAATTAAAAAAATAAAAGAGGCTGTCCCTACAGACAGTACTAAACTGATTTAACCAAAATACAAATATGATTGCTGAGTTTGATTTCCTTAAATTAAAAAATTGCCAAAGTGCTACCTGGGATGGTGTTCATACCTTTTCATTAACATCAGACAATTTAATATACGGCAAAATGTACTGCTTACTGCTTTAGTCATCAAAACACCTGGTTAATATAAGAGACTAAGATCACATGTTCAATTCAGTAACTATCCATCATGTTTATTTTAATGAGCTGCGAGTTTTCCCTCCAACCATTTCCCCCATCCCCAGACCTGCTGTTTGTTCAAAGGATCAGATGGATCACCGAGGCTGAAAAAAAGTGGAGCATTAACTGCCTCTGTGAAGAGTCCTACCAGAACAGACCTCAGATGCGCTGAAGGGAAGGCTGCTCACTTCCTTGGTCCCATTCATCTCACCAAGGCATTGTGGAATAAGAGTGGACATATTTACCCTGCCTGACATGCATGTTCCCTAGCAGAGAACAACCTAGCGAAGGAGGCTCCATGGGCATTCAGCTGGTACATGCTGCTTAACTAAATTGCATCTTTCACCACTAGAGCTAAACACTTCCACCCGGTTACCCATTTTGGCAGGCAGTTCTAGGCTTTCAAAAAGAACAGTTCCTATTTCTTCTGTAGTCAGATCTTGTGATAAAACACAAATTGAACATTAAAAGGTTATTCTTTTAGCAATAAAACACTTGCTATTGAATGTAAATTGATGAAGGTTCTAAATGATCTTGGGGAACTTTTAATGGCTATTTAGTGGAATATTAATAGGACTTCATTTAGGTACTGAAGTGTTTCATTTGAAACTTCCAACTTTCATGTGTTTGACAGAAATTACTCATTCTGGCCACAGTATGTACCCGCGACATGATCACACAACGTAACACTTCCAGGTGAAAAAGAGCTAACAGACTCTACAATTCAGGACCTACGATGCTGGGTTGAACTACAGGACTCACCCATTAGGCCTAAGGTCGGGCAAGGGCCTGTCCAGCGGCAAGCGATCACTTAGGTAAGCGTTGTAGCCATAGTACTGGAATTGTTTCAGTGCGATCCGCCTGTTTTCGGGACTGAGATCCTGGCCCCAGTGAGCAAAGAGAGACGAGTCAGTGAATGCTTACAGTTTTGGTGGAGCTTCTACAAGAGACAAAGACAAAAAGAAACCATTTTGGATATTCATTCCAACAGGCTCTAGGGTACATTACTTTAAAAAGCATAACTTCAGGGAGAACACCACACCGGGCAGCACAGGCTGCGCTTTACAGCAGCCTGTAAGTCTTCACATAACGTGCCCTTACGTACTTCTTGTAATAATGTAACTATTAGCACCTAAGGCTCAAAATTTAACATTCAGAATATGAGTTAAACCCAGTATTTTATCTTTTTTTCAATCACAGTCTGAAGGCTGGGATTGAAAATTCTAAATTAATTCAATTTCAAAAATTATCAGACAACAAGAATGTCATTTTGGTTTTATATACAAAGATGAACTATTTAACTTCAGCCTGAGTTACCTTGCTAGAAAAGATTAACATTTTGAAGGGGAAAAATAGAAGCAAAGGAAGAGAAGAAAGACTCTGCACACACGGGGTGTACACTTCTTGTACCTGAACACACAAAATGGCTGCCAAAGTCTGTGTGCAAAGTAAGTTCTTTGGAAGTACAGATTCAGCAGCGAGAAAAAACTCACTGCATTTGGCATCCAGTTTTAAACAGCAAACCAGTTTCAGTCACACAGTAATTTTATGGTCCAGTTTATCAATCCAGTCTATTTGAGTTTTTAGTCAATATTTAGTTGTACGCAATGATGTTACCGGAATCATCACTTTGTGATATATCTGTCATTATAAAATGCTTTTGTTCCACAAGGCCACATCTCTGCCTGCTATAACAAATAGAGAAGATGGGCAAAAATACACCTAGAATTTAATTTAAGAGTTGCTCCAGTACAATGAAACCACAGCATTCATTCTCAGTATGTAGTTCCTCAAGAAGTCTGTTCCAGGTGACCTGTAAGGCTCGCTGTATCAGGACTGTCTCACCCCTCCAAGCAGCCCTTCAGTCTTTACACAGTCGACTACTCAATCTAAGTCAGAGAATCAACTGTCTCTGCAAACACTTTATGATATACAATACAATAATAAGGAAAGATCCAATGTTTTACGTGACCCTGACCTGTCATCATAAATTAGAGCATCTCATTATTTATGAGGCCTCAACAGCCATAACAATTAGCCATCTAACTGAACTCTCTAATTTCTGGAGACCTGTACTCACAAACTGTAACTGTTTGGGCACACAGTAACTTATGAAAATAAAAGCGAATCTTCGGGAAGTCTTCAAATGTGCCCAACAGACAGAAACTTCAACTGTGTCCAAAGTCCTCATCAGCACCCACACAGTCACCTACAGACCAGACAGCATGGAAATACCTAAAGACAACAGCAGAATATGCCACTAGAACCCCGGCTCCCAAAGAATGCCAAGCAGCACATTCTTTGATCTCCTACTAAAAAGAACCCAAATGCAGAAACATAAATCGAGAAGATTAAGTTGTTTGATTCATTCAAGATGTTTTCCTTTTTTCCCCTGACACTACTGACAGGAAACCAATGCTACTTGTTTCCCTGCATTCCATTCCAGCCTCTGTAAATATGTAATGCTTCTTTACTTGTCAAAGTACTGCATCCCAGCCTGAATTCTGGAATGAGCTCCAGTTCTTCAAAGACAAAGGATGTGCTAAACCCTCAGTCAAACAGGGAAACTACACTGACGGGTCCTACTACCACACAGATTAACGAGAGTGGAGCTTGTGAGTTCACAGACAACTCTGTAACAGAAATTAAGAAAGTTTGATAAATTCAGATAATTTTAGAAGGTCCTAACTTGAGAAAGACAGAATAGTTTTTAAGATTCAGTCAAAAAATCACAGCAACAGGGAAAGTCACAGGTATCTCTGTTGTTCGACAATTACGTGATCTCCAAAAAATCAACTTGAATTTATACCAATCACCTCACAAAGTTTCTTCACATCATAAGAGATATTTAGATCAGGTACACTCCTGATCCTGGCTAGTGGAAATTAACATTGCTCAGCACTTTTCAAGAACATGCATATTCACACTAATCAAGAAAACTCTAAGAGTATTTGTTCAACCTGTTGTGTGCCATCTTAATCTGGATTTCTCCAAATCAAGCACACTTTCCCTGAAGGTTTTAACTTCTATATTTACCACTACACTTAGGACAGAAGACTGTAGGATCCACACACATGCAAGCAGAACAGCAATGCATGAAGACATCTGAATAAAAATAAGACTCATGGTAAGAACAGTTAACGTGTGTGCTTTTCTAACTACGAGCAGTTCCAAGGATCATTTTCCATGGATGATGAGCCATCCCAGAAACAAATAGCCTTCACAGACTCACACAGGCATCTGTTGAATTTTATCTAACGATTTTGCAGGTGATGATGATCTATGAATCTCTTGCTGTTTTCTGACTGAAAAGCAGTCAGTCATCTAGGTTGTCTCTGTAAGACTAAGAATTTCCAGCAATAGATACCTGTGAATTTCGTTTACAAGCTCTAATAAACCACTTGCCAAATACACCCATTTTTTGTATACTAAGCAAACCTGTCATTTCCATGTTATTCTACAGGAAAAAAACATTAGCAAGAACTTACAATTACAATTCAAATCAATGGAATTAGGCATGCATCTCTGACAATAAAGTCTTTCCTCCCTTTATTTGGCTGAAAACCCTTCGGGGAAACGATTTCATTGAGCCAGTTTCTCACAAGAAATAAAAACAATTATTTTAAGACCATCAGCTGCTTTTCAAGTAGTCAGCAAGCATATCTTACGCCTTAGTCTCTGTAAACAGTCTTGGCCTGAAGTCTCACAGCCAGTTCTTCTTACCACTTGCTTCTACAAGCGCAGAATGATCATGGGAAGCTAAGGCTCAAAGGTGAACCAGTAAGTAGTACTGCCTGAAGCAATACAAAGGTAGACACATTCATCTGCTTGGTTATTACTAAAAGGAAAGATCAGTTTGAGTCTTCCTATGGGAAGAAAGCCTACCATGCACAGCCCATTGCTGCAAATATTAACATAGGGTCTTCTCTACATGAACTTTTCATACCATGGGAAGAGCAGCACTGCACACAGACATGAGCCTGATATTAACTCTTGGCAGTCTGACACTTTGCCATTAAACTGATTGGTACCAGAGACAAATTACACAGATGTCAGCGGGCTATACACCTGGGCTGAGAAAGCCTCCTTCCAGAAGACTGGCTGTTCGTGGAATCAGCACACTGGTTCATTGCACACTGCTTACCTGAGTCAAATAACCTCACAGCTTGTTTTCCAAAAGCATTTGCGTGTCTTTAGCTCACGCTTTCTGGATTAGTTATGCAAATAGTTATGCAATTAATCTTAATGTAAAATCTATTGCTTCAGCCAACCTCACTGACCATAAACTCACTCTCCTCTTTCTATGGCTCAATATACAAAGTCAGAGACACCAAATCAAGACACTGCTGAAATCCAGGTTGTACATGACATGAAACCAGTTCTTTCCTAGTAAGAGAAGGTATTTTTATTGGTAATTGAAGCTGGAACAAACTTGTGTTAATACTGCCCTTGTAATTGAACACACACACAGAGGTTTCAATAGTCTTTTCCAGCGTACTGGGTACAAACAGCAAGGTTTGGTAGCAGAGGGACTGCAGGAGTGGCCTCTCTGGGAAAAGGTCAGGTGCTGCCCTGTGCCAGACATAGCTACTTCCCCAACAGACTCACTGCGAGCCAAAGCTGAGCCCACCAAGGAAAATGGTGGCACTTCTATGGAAAAAATACTTAAGAAAGGGCAGAAAATTACAAGGATTGGGGAACAAGGGTACAAGAGAGCAGAGCAAACAAGGAAATGAGAGAAGACCCATGTCAGGAGAGTAGGAGCTGTCCCATGTTATCTTTGTTTCCAAATTATAGCCAAGTTATTAAAATTTTGCATTAATCGGTAATAAATCAAATACTTGCTTTCTTCAGAGGTTGTACAACCAAGCAGCAAGCACAGACAACAAGGTATCTACCCCTTACTATTAGTAAGGAACTGCAGACAAGCAATGTGTTAGAAGCAATAAGAAGACAAGACAGTCTCTATCCATGTATGCCTTTCCTGCCTCTCCCTTCCTTCCTTTGTTATCTGTTTATAACCTACACTTACTTTGTTAGTTTTTGTCAATGTACATTTGCCTCTGCCAGTTCTTGTAAGGCAGCTCATATAACTGGCACTCAAAGATAAAAAGCCTGATCAGACAGTAAGGAATTCAGGCAAAGATTTTTGTTATTACTACGAAGCATATTTATAGCATCATTTGATATCAGGTAATAGTGGCACAGGAATCATTCTACCCACTATGAAAACACAATTATTTCCAGGGTACTACAGGACAACCACTTAATTTACAACATTCTTAAGTTGTGAAGAAAAATAAATTAAGACTATTGTATCCAACTGTAATTGTAGTAGTCTTCAAGCATCTTGGCAAAATATACTTCTCTAATTACTATTCACATGAAATAATTATTTAATTACATGGGGATATTTTCTACACAACAAATTCATATCTCTGTTTCAGAACCATGAATGACAGGCACCTCTAGAAGCATTAATTCATCAGCTATATAAAGGTTTAGCAGTGACCTTCCTTGAAAGACCATCTTTGGTTTTGTCACCAGTATAATTTTGTGTTATATCAACAGATTTCTTGCATATCTGCTATGTAAGTGCTGATCCTTCCCATTCATACTTTCTTACCAAGATTTAAGAAATACCATAAGAACATCAGTGGCTGCTTCAAGTTTCCCAAAGCCTTAACTAAAAAGTTCATGAACTCATGTAATAATATTAACAGCTAGAATTTAGCAGATAACGTAGGTAAGGAATACTGCCATATTTAATCTAATTTTAGTGCTAACTAAGGCACCATTGTACTAAAGCATCTATGAGGAATATTTTTGAAAGCAATTTAGTATCTAAATCTATAACTGGCACTGTGGCTATTTGTACTGTACCATGATCCATCTATGGAAGCCTTTAAGCTTTAAAATAAATTAGTTGTCCTCTCTTCCAATATGCATTGGCAGTTAATAACTATGTGGTTTATAGAAGAGGACATAAAACCAGCCCCGAACAGTCAGAGTTCAGTGCTTCACTAGTTGGTACACTGCACGTCCCTTATCCTCCTCTGGGCTGCTTCATTTGGACTGTTAACTGCTGCCAGCAATACAATTTTTTTCATTCTTTTATTATTTCTCTTATTTATTTTCCTAAGTTGTACACTGCATAACTCTTATCCACTTTATGACCAATTCTAAATTGACTCTGTTCTGATGTTTTACATTATTTCTTGTGTCCATCTCCTTGAACTTTAATCATATAAGAGCAGCCTCCTTAGCTGTTATTAACCATTTCTACAAATAGTACTTAAAAGTCTATATTTGATTTCCTGCAGGCCATAGCATTTCAGCTTTCCATGGAAGGAAGGATCCTTTCATCCTTTTCCTCTACACATACCTTTCATTTATTAGCCAATCTATACCCTCTATACCCTCTCACCAGAGGCTACTCTATGCAACAGGTAAAAATCCCAGACTTGCATTCGGTCACAGAATCTCGACACAGTTTTTAGAAGCATGAAAACTTTATCTAACTTTGTCACATAGAAAAAGATACACAGAGGAAGATCCCACTTTCAAAGCCTATTGTAATTAATGCAAACACATTATCCGCATCCTTAATAATTAGTCTGACAATTCCTGTCCTGGAAGGCTGATCTCATGCAGGACACTTCTACAAATCTTCTATCAGATGAATGAACCTCTGAAATGAAAACATTACCTCCTTGTTTGTAGAGCTTGATGAAATACCGACAAGCACCAGCAGAAGCAGCTCACCAAGACACAACACTGCATCAGCCATGGAGAAAAGTATACTCAGAACATAAAAATCAAGTTACAGTAAAGTGACAGAGCTTCCTTAAGAAAGGTTGTTTTATTTATTCTCACACCCCCCCCAAAAAAAAATCACAATACTGTTGACAAGTTGTCAACATTAATATTGTTCTGTGCTGAAAAGTGAATTTTACTGTTTTGAATATTGAAGATAAGTTAATTCCCCTTGTCAGAGCCTAACTGTGTTCCCAAAGAACTGACTGTTGCAGAAATGTACCTAAAAAAAAATATGAAATATCTAACTGGGTTAAATTCTGCCACTGCTGCTTACTTACAACTTATTAAGTCATACTGAAGCTGCCAGGGCTCCTCAGAGAGACCAACAGAGCCTGTCAGGAGTTTGTGTGTACAGAGTATGAAGAGCAGCGAAGCCCTGATCTTAAAAAATAAAAAAAGTCTGATCCAAACTACATCCAAAACACACTGAGAGGATTCAACAAGTATCTGGGCTTTGCATATTCCAGCACACTCTGTAGTTAGTGTCAGCACTGGACAGATCAGACAGAAAGGGAATGGGAAAAAACCAACCCCTCAAACAGGCGACTCTTTCCTGAAAAGCTGTCAGGAAGCTGTGAAACACTATGAGTAGTATACAATCAGTATGGAACTTTAAAGATTGAAGTGTATATAACAGCACATAAAGAAGGAAACGCCAAAAAAACCCTCTCTCAACAAAATTTAGGTATTTCTGAGAACTTGAAACAACATTTATTATTGATATGTCAACACTACTGCATTTTAATGCAGCCAGTACACACACACAGTGGTACGCTACTAGAGTGCTGCTAACATTTATTTATATATGTTTCCAAAAAATAAAGTCTCTTGGAGAAATCTGACTTTTCTGAAAAATAATCCTGTGCTTATTGTGTGTGGAAATTCAGTCTTGTTCTGCTGCTTAGCAGAAACCCCTTCTCTCCCTGAAGTGACTTCCAAGTTCTAGAACCATAAACATCGGACTGTATGTTCCCTATACAAACAATACAAGTAGATACAAACTAAGAGCCCGAGAGAGACATTTGGAATCTTTACTCAGGTTCACACCCTTACCAAAGTGCTCTGTGTTTTTTCCTTTTTCATTTTTGGCCAAATGGGCCATCCTGGAGTGCTGGGTCCTAGGGAAGCCTGGGACAGATCCACCTGGCTCTCCCCCGTAGCCACACTGACACCGGCACATAGAACACAGTGCAGAAAGCCAGAACAGCTCCCCAGGGCAGGGGTGCCACCTGCCTCCTCAGCATTCTCCCGTGTATTCATATTGGATAGATTTTCCCATTAACTGTTCACTAGAAGAGACTGTGGGGAGCTAACTGTTTATCAAATACATGCTCATAAAAGGATTAAGTTGTGCCATGCATTTTCAATAATGTATTGATTTATCATTTCTTTTCAAGGACTTGTTACCAGAAATATCAGGGTATATTAGATGTTTGGTGGTCAAAAGATCCATGACATCTGTGAATTCAAATTAAGAAGTTCATATTACCAAGTCTTCTCAGATCTGAAATAATGGAATGAGTTAACATATTGCAAAAGACTGAAAAAGGGATGCTAACAGGTACTCACTGAAAGCCAATGACAGCAATTCAAGTTCTTACGCAGCAGATGGACAACCT